AGGTACAAGTGACGATAGTGGTAGAGCATCTGAACAATTGCATGGCCCTGGTATACCTAGGGATTGCCAGGACGCAGACAGTTCCAGGGACCACCTCAGCGATGTAAGTATTATTTTGTATTATTGTGTACATAAGTTGAATATACAATTATACAATCAAAGTTCATAATAATTTTATATAAGATTTTGCGATGTTTATTTTTTGTAATTGAATAAAATTATTATTTGATGAATCAATTCTCATCCTTGTGTAATTTTCATTGATTTTATAGGCTAGCAGTCATTGCAGTTCGGGTAAAGGTTATATCGTAAGTATTAAAAACAAAATTTAAATTTCATTTCTAACTTGCTCGAAACTATCATAAAACTACTTTATTTTTTATTCTCTTATTATAGTGTGATAGTGAAGGAGAAGACGATAAGGTAAGTAATAATATCACAAAAAATATATAGTAAAAAGTAGAAAATCATTTAATAAAAATCATTATTTTAGGGCTCGGATGCTGAATCGATACTCTTTGAATCTTCTACCCCACCACCCCTTGCACGTAAATGTATGTAATATTTAAGCCAATATTTTTTTTGTTAATTGTATTTTTTTTTTGTTGTTTTTTTAAGTATTCATGTGAAATCAACTCTTATCTTATATTGTAGACGAATTGCCATCATCTTCACCACACGTTTTGCCTCCAGCAAACGGAGCAGGAGGTTCACCTCCAGACACGGGTGGACAAATTTCAAATCCAGCAACGGATGCTCCGGCACCTATACCACCTCCTGTGCCTGCGTCTGCACCAGTTCCAACAGCGCCAAGTCCTCCCAGTCCTACTCTACCCCCTCACATATCCCAACCACCTGTAAGTAAATATTTGCTATTTACTATTTCTATGAATTTTACTATGAATAATAAACATCCGATTAAATATTTTCAGATGACTAGTCCATTGGCAGCAAATCCACGTGCAATAGCTCCGCAACAGCGGCCAGCTTCCCCTGCTCTGCCACCTCCTTCTTTGTCCCAACCTCATACTACAATACCTGCACTACATCCACCCAATGTACCCCTTGTTTCGTCAAGTCATACAACTAGTCCTGCAGTAGCCAGCTTAGGCGTTACCCCAGCGGCACCATCAAACGGAGCTACAACTACTAGCTATCCACCGTCGATACCCATGGCTGCTTATCCTCAAACCCAACCATCTTATCCACCTCTTTATACACCATATACTGCTTTAAATCACAGTCCATACCTTCCACCTGCAGTTCCATCTCCCTCCCATTCTGCTTCTTCACGAGCAGAAGTGGTAAGTTGTATATGCTACTACATAATATGGAGTTGAAAAATTTATTTGCATTTTATACATAAATATTATTATGTATAAAAACATTTTGGTAATAGTTAAATTACATGCTAACTTTAATAATCTTCATTTTTAGAGAGGAAGTAGAGCTTCCCCATGTACTAATATAAGTAAACAACAACCTATAGGGAATAATACCACAAATCATAATACTCCTCTGAGCGCTGCCACTACGACATGTGTATCTACAATAACTAATACAGTTACTACAGCAAATACCATTGCTCACAGAGATATGGTAGCTTGTAGTTTAACTGGAAGAAACAATAATTCGCCTCGTGGGCATAGTCCGAGTCGAGAAAGAGATAGTTATAGGTATAATCTTGTGATCATAAATATTTTTATTGTTTGTTGTAATAAAAGTTTTATAATAATGTTACTTATTATAGCAGTAATGTCAGTAGCCTAAGTCGAGGTAGCATAACGCCTGTAAGTGTGCCAAACACATCTTCTCCAGCCAATTCTAGTCTACCTGCATATACCAAACCACAAGGATGGATCGGGTATGGATAAAATCATAATTTGTTAAACAATTTCTTCATATTTTATTTACATATTTTCATATATAATTTACAGTAGCAGCACAACTTCACAATTGTCTCCAGCAACAGCAACGTCAGTTCCAAGGCCAACTCCTCCACCAGTACCACTTGGCATGCACACGTTTCCGCCGCCAATGTTTGCAGCACCCTTACCACCTCCTGTGTCTAGTTCCAGTCCACATACGTCACTGCCTTCATTACCACCGCCAACGACTAATCCTAATCCATTCTCTGCCGAGTCACTTTTTCAAACAAGTAAGTTTATAAACTATTTTTCAATTTTGTTTGGGATTCGAGTAACAAAGAGAGAGAGAGAAAGAGAGAGAGAGAGAGAGAGAGAGAG